TTATTGCCAATTTTCTAATAGGATGTTCTGTAATTATATCCTAATAATGTCCTTATATGTAAATCATGTTCTTAGACCATTTTGGCGCACCACACCGGCTACCAAAGATGCCTGTACCCTCCACTTTCAAATCACCACCCACCCAACTTCCTATTGACTTCTACAGTCCTTCCTGGTACAACAACTTACCCCCTGGTCAGAAAGAAAAGTGGGTTGATTCAACCCATGTTGCGCTTCTGCCCAATGCGGCACAATCTCTCAAACCGATACCCCATCCAGACGAATCTTTGTCAGGGTCCAAGTTCAGTAAAAAGTACTACGAACAGAAAATCAGGGTATATCAGGTTCCGGTAGTTGAGGAGCTTACTGAGGAACACCTTGACAAAACTGGCGATTTGGACTGTTGTGACGAGGTGTTAGATGACAACGAGGAGGGTATTGATCTTCAACAACCAAGTGATGGTGAGGACGCGGATGAAGACGAATACTATGCCGAAGGGGAGTTTGGTGACCTCTATGATCAAGAGGATGGGTGGTTGGTTGAAAATGAGGATGATGATGTGGATATTAATGAAGAGGAGGAGGAGGTGGACATTGAGCGTGATTGGGAAGGTGATTTGGAGATGGAAAAAACAAGACATGAGGAAAGTGTGGTCTGAAAGGTGCGTTTCATGGTATTTGTTGGTAAAGACTTCGTTCCTAAATTAAGAAAAAAAACAAAAAATTCTTGTGTGAGGTATAAGTCATTGTAACTAGGAAAAAAAAAAAATTGTCTTGTTTGCTGGAAAATGAAATGCGGGTGTCCGTGTTGGGACAAAAAAAAAAAAATGACTTGTGAGAAAGCTGTGGAGGGTTGAACGGTCATTGAGGGTTTGATAGTAATCTGGGACTAGGTATGTTGTTTTGTATTAACTGAACAAAGTAGTTTCATTTCAAAAAGCGAGTTATCAGACTTTAAGGAAAAAATGAAAAAGTGAGAAGAGAGATAAGAAATACATAGATTGAATTGAGATAGATAGGGATGACAAGAAAATGAAGAGGTGGGTGAATTGTGAACGGAAAGTAACTTAGGGTACAAAAGAATGAGAAAAAAGTACTGGGGTGAGTATGACCCCTCCCGAAATAAGGCCAAACGTTTGAGGGAGTAGTATACGAAATGCACAGGTGCTGAGAATCTGATCGGGTGCTATGAAAAAACTTTGCTCCTCAATCTCGCCAACAACTGTGCGGAAGAGGTACAAGATGTATCTAAAATTTTTTGAGGGGGATAACAGATCCTTACCATAGCAATCCTTGATCGGGTTGATGAGCACTGCAGTCTTTGGTTTACCATCCCCACCATTGTACATGTGGATCTGCTTGACCATTCCGTACATCTTCCGTTTCTCCCTCATGAAACACACACACCTATTAGCACCTAAGGCCGATATCCCAAAATCTTTTTTATCCCCTAGCACCCGGTGATACTTTTTCACCCCTGCATAGCGTGTCAGTACTTCACCGTTCAGAGGGAGCGGATCTGCATAGTAAGGAAAAATGTTTTGATTGACACTCCCCTCGTGGGCTATCAATTTTTTGTAAACATCGTCCGACAAGATAAACTGGCATGTATTGGGTTCAGCTTGATGACATTCTTCCTTTGGAACCGGGTGATCACTCTCCAGTCTCT